GTGGTTTGGGTTTCTCTGGGCTGAATCTTGGTGTTTTGGAGGTTTTTATGGACACAGGATGCCCGGTGAGTTCTAGGGATGGACTTGGGCAGGAGGAACCCCCAAACCAACGCGCTCAGCCCTTGTTTTCCCCCCCATCAGGATTTGTCCTTCCCAAAGCTTGGGCGGATGGAGGAGGAGGCTGCGAGGAAGAGGAAGATGCCTTGGGCCCCCCAGGCAGGTGAGGAGGAAGTCAGTGGCCCTTTGGGCGGGTGTTGTGCTGGCTCTGTCAGCCGAGCATGGCCCCGGCTGCAGGACAACCCCGCTGCCGCCGCCGTCCTGCCGGGGCCGGAGTTGGGGGGATGTCCTTGGCCTTCCCTGTGGGCCGGAGGCAAATCCCCTCCCTGTCCTTCTTGCTTCCTGCCCCAGGCCCCGAGCTGAGGACGGAGAGCCCGGAGGACAAATCCCCCTGTGAGACCCTGGTGGGAGAGGCCGTTTTGAAGGGCTCCCCGGCGCAGGAAGGCAGCGGGGAGGAAAAGGGCCGGAGATCCCCCCACAGGAGGGGCTCCAAAGCCATCCCAGGGTGCTCTGAGGAGGAAAGAGCCAGCCTGTGCCGGGAAGGCGGCCGGAGCTTGAGGGGGAGCTCTGAGCTGGTGGTCCCTGATCAGCCTCCCAGCAGGGAAAAGCCCTTCAAATGCTTGGAATGTGGGAAGAGCTTCAGGACAAGCACCACCCTCCTCACCCACTGGCACATCCACACTGGGGAATGGCCCTACAAGTGTGGGGAATGTGGGAAGAGCTTCAGGGACAGCTCCAACCTGATCCGACACCAGCGTATCCACACTGGGGAACGACCCTACACCTGTGGGGAATGTGGGAAGAACTTCAGTGACAGCTCCGGCCTCCACGTGCACCGTCGCATTCACACCAGGGAACAGCCCTACAAGTGTGTGGAGTGTGGGAAAAGCTTCAGGATCAGCTCCAGCCTCCGCTCCCACCAGCTCATCCACACCGGGGAACGGCCCTTCAAGTGCTTGGAATGTGGGAAGGGGTTTCAGACCAGCTCAGATCTCCTGAAGCACAAGCCAACACACACAGGGGAGTGGGCCTTCCACTGCACCGACTGCGGGAAGGGCTTCAACCAGAACTCCACCCTTGTCACCCACCGCCGCATCCACACCGGGGAGAGGCCCTACAAGTGTGGGGAGTGTGGGAAGAGGTTTAAACGCAGCTCACATGTCATCCAGCACCAACGGACACACACGGATGAGAGGCCCTTTCGCTGCAGTGACTGTGGGAAGGGCTTCAACCAGAACTCCGCCCTCAAAACCCACCAGCGCATCCACACCGGGGAGAGGCCCTACAAGTGTGGGGAGTGTGGGAAGAGCTTCACCGACAGCTCTGGCTTGACCAAACACCAACGGACCCACTGGTAGGGGAAGCCCTGACTGCAGGAAGAGCTTTGGCCACTGCTTCCACCCCGAATGAAGCCCCTGATGGTGAGGCAACCCCTGGAGTCCAGTGACGTTCAGTAGTTTAGTGGAAGTAGACTCTAAAAGCAGCAACCCTCATTCCCTCCCTTACTTCCCTTTCCCTGTAGCACCCTTGTTTACACATTCCTTAACCCTCTTACCCCATTCTATGCTCCCTATATCATTCCTACCCCCTAATCCAGTAGAAATGTTTAGTCTTTTGTCAAGGCAAGGCCTAGATTGTTGACAGAACAGTGTATCTTGGCCTAAACCACAGAATACGGTCAAGAATTAGGTAACTCTGTACCCTTTGTGCTCTGAAGAAGATGAAAATGGGATGAACAGAGAGTCCAAACCCCAGACCCCTTTTCACGGGGTGGACCTGGGGCGGTCCAGAGTAAAGGCCACAGGGTGGACACATTTGGGATTGGATAGATGGTATTATAAAATGTAACATCTGGGGCACAGGGGACCGCGCGTCTTGTAACATTTTCTGCCTTGGCAAATAAACCCTTTCTTATCTCACCCCTAATTAACTTCTCCGAGAGATTTTTTCAGCACCTACATCCCACGGCAACAAGGGACACAGGGAGGTCCCCATTCACGATCCATCCCAGGGCCAGTTCTGCCCCTCCCCAGCTCGCATCCAACCTTTGGGATCCCCCCCCTCCCCTACTGCCCTCCAATAACCGGGACTTGGGAGAACTGGGAAGCTTTCCTGGGATCACTGGGAGCAGCTGGGCAGAGGCAGAGTGACAGCAGGGGAGGGGGGGACACACAACCTCCCCAAAATACATGCAGGGATGGGGAGGGGATCCAGGCTGGGCCCAAGGCCCTGGGGAGGGGCTGCAGCCACTGCCGGCTCAGGAGCTCTGTGGGGAGAGAAAAGGGGGTGACACCGGGGTGGGGGGTCCCCAGGGGGGCACAGACGCTCTGGGGGGACACACGACCCCCTGGGACCCCCCTCACCTTCTGGCACAGGTAGAAACTGAGCCCCAGCGCCAGGGAGACGAAGGCCAAGAGGAAGCCCCCGGCCCCTCCTTGGCAGCAATTCCTCAGGCTGATGGAGCCCAGCAGGGCCGGGGCCGCCGGCAGTGTCCGATCCCGGCAGGAAGCGGGGAGGGCCCGGCGGGGTCTGATAGAAATAAATCAAGGCAGATCTCTCTTTCTTTCACCCCCTGGGCAGGGACCATCAAGAGCTGTCCCTGCTTCACAGCAGAAGCTCCACACACTTCAGAAAGTCTGTGGAAGAATCTGCTCTAGGAAAGTTGGCCCTGGGCTTTTATGCTTTGTCACTGATGGATCTCCAGTCACATCTTCCCAGGCCAGTGAGCAGCTGATCTGTCAAACTCTGCTTCCAAAAGCAGCATGTGTGTTGGAAGGTTGGGGAACCAGGCTGGGTTTGGCACAATTCAACACTAAACCAACCCCTTGGCACCAGCAGTAACTCCCCACAGAGAGCTTGCATTGCCTGCATTCTCCCATCAGATTCTTTTCCAGGTAGAACATCCTGCTACAAGGGGTCTGTTACCACCCGCCCCAGAAAGGAGGGGGTAACCCAGGTTCTTATTAATAAATCCCTTGGGGTGGATTAGAGTGAAACAACACTGAATAATTGGTGTTTGAAAATATATATATATATGTAGGGTTTATTTTAGAACAATTTTGTTTCAAAGCTAAACAGGTATGTTGCCATTTTGGATGTTATCATCTCTATAATCCCAGCCCAGCAGCACTGCCAGGGAGCAGCAGTGCTTGGTCTTTGCAGAGCTGCTCTCTTACCACTTCCACACTGTCCTCCTGAGCCTCTTTCTCACTGTAAGGCCTGAGTGCTCTCTGAGCACAGTCCTGGGGGCTGGAAGCCCTTGGAGCACAGGCAGGGACAGGCCCTGGGAACTTGTGAAGCAGAGCTGGGCTGCCTTCCAGCATCTCCAGGATGCTGTGGGATCTTCTGAGGCCACTGCATGGACTGGGTCACTTCTTCTGTGACCTTCCTCCAGGGCTGGAACTCCCCTGCAGTGACACCATGACACTGCTGCTCTCTGCTTTTCAGGTTCCATTTTCAGATCCAGTCTTTCCCTCCTGTTCCCAGGGACATCCTGGGAGTGCTTCAGAGCTGCCATCCTGGGGCAGCTCCTGCCCAGCATGGGCAGGCACAAGGTCTCTCCACCTGCTCCTCTCCCCTCCCCAGTGCCACTGTTTTCTGCAGCCTCCTCCTCCTTGCCCAGCACAGCCCTCCTGGCACAGTTGGACACAGCCCTTGTTCTACCCCCTCCTCAGGCACCTGCCCAACCCCCTCAGCTCCAGCCTGAGGGCCAGAAACCTTCAGGGCAGGGAGGCACTGGGGAAAATGTTGAGCAAACCTTTCAGCTGCACTCAAATCCAATTGGAGGGGTTGGCCTCGAGGAAGAAATCCCAACTCATTCTCCAGAACCACCAGGACAACCTGTGTTGTGTCCTTGACACTCCTCTGGAAGTGTGGGCTATGGAAAAGTTTTGCTGTCAGGGCTATTGAGAAGGCTGGGCAGTGTCACTGGGAGACCTCTCCCAAACCCTTGGAAAGGCCAGAGCCATCCCAGAGCTTCCTGGGGCCTTGGCAAAGGCAGACATGGAAGCAGTCTGCAAACAGGGCAGAAAGGAGGGTTGGGAGAGTTCCAGACTGCTCAGGCTCAGCAGGGAAGGGGATAGGGCAAGTCCTCCTGTAGCCATTGCCAGGCATGGGAAGGACAAGGCAGGGATTGCAGAACCCATGTGGGAGAAAATAGAAGAGGATGTTGTGTACCCAGACTTCATCAAGGCCCTTGACATGGTGTCCTATGGTCTTCTTATGGCCAGACTGGTGGGAGCTGGACTGAAGAAGTGGAAGATGTGGTGGATGAGAAGTTGGTTGAATGAAGAGCGTCTAATAAAATCCATGTTGCATTGTCCTCTTGGCAGCAACTTCCTGGTGAAATCTCTCAGTGATCAGCCCTTGAACACCAATGCAGAAGAGCTCTCTATATAATGGGACAAAATGCATTTTCGAGTCCTTTGTGGATGATGCCAAATTTCAGGGAGCCCTTGAGCAACCTGTCCTGGTTTAAAGACACATATTGGGACGGGAACTCCAATAAAATGAATTCACTCCTCTTTTATTCCCCACCAGTACAAGGAGACAAAATATAAGGAGGTATAAGTGAGAAAATAAGAGTTTACTGACAAGAAATAGAGCAGTAAAAACAGCAATACCAACAGAACAGTTCAAAGCAACAACAGAGAGAGAAATTGCCTCCTCTCTCCCCCCTGACCCAACTCCCTTTTGTAAACAGATAAAACCAGGGATCAACAGGTGCCTTCCTTCCCCCTTTTCCCACTCAATGAACAAAGAACAAAAAACAAAACCAGGGGAAAAGAGGGGGTGAAGCAAAATGTGGGAAACTCTCTGGTCTGAGATCAGTTGTGCTGCCCAAGAACACGCTGACTCCAGAGGTGTCCAAGCAGGGCAGAGCCAGCGACTCCGGTCCGTGCGGCGGTGGGGGGGAGGCAGCGGCTCTGCTTGATTCAATGGAGTTCTGGGGAGGCACAGTGGGTGCCATGAGACTCTTCAGTGTCACTATGGCCCCTTGGTTCCATGAGATTCCACAGTGTCCCTGCATCCCTTTGGTTCCATGAGGCCCTGCAGTGTCACAATGACCACTGATTCCATGCGGTTCTGCAGTATCAGAGTGGCTCATTCATTTCAGTAGATTCCACAGTGTCCCAGGGTTCCTTGGGTTCCCTGAGGCCCTGCAGTGTCACAGTAGCCCCTTGAGCCCATAAGGTTCCTCAGTGTCACAATGGCCCCTTGGTTCCACAAAGTTCCACAGTGTCCCTGGGTTCCTGTTTTTTCCATGAGATTCCCCAGCCTCACAATGGCCCATTGGATCCATGAGCTTCCATTATGTCTCAGGGTTCCTTTGTTTCCATAAGGGCCTGCACTTTCCAAATGGCTACTTAGATCCATGAGGTTCCAAAATGTTTCAGTGTTCCTTTCTTGCCACAAGGCCCCAGATGTTTAATGGCCCCTTCGTTCCACAAGACTTCAGTGTCCCTGTGTTCCTTGGTTTCCATGAGGCCCTGCAGTGTCACAATGGCCCTGTGATTTCATGAGGTTGCACAGCATCATCACAAAGCTGACCCCACCCAGATGGAAGTTTTGGGGAGGTTAGGGGGAAGTGGAACAAAAGGGATAAAGTTGAGGAAGAGAAGGAAATTGAGACTTGGCCAACCGAGCAGAGAGATTTTGTTGAGGTAAAACCAGGTTCAGGGAATGCTGAGGGTGCTGAAACACTGACTGTGCAAGCATTCCTGAGAGACATTTACCTTATTTGTAACCTCAAGCCCCAACCTAAAAGTACTTCCCCTCCCATTGAAAGGAATCCAATGCTCTAATGAACCAGACACTGCCAGCAGAACAACAAACCTCCCAAAGTTCTGCCTAATCCCAACCCTGAGCTCTAAACCCCAAGCCTTGAGCATTAAACACCAACACACAGCCCTTGGGAGCAAGGCAAGGACCTGGAGGGCCCACAGCAGGCCCAAGGGGTTGGTAAAAGGAGTGGGAGGTGACCTGAATCTGCTCAGCTCTGCAGTGACCCCCAGGAGAAGGGCCTGGGCTCTGGGAGGGATGTCCTGTGGCACAGGGGCTCAGGATCCAAGTTACTAAGGTCAAGTGCACATGGCAACAGCCACAGCTGGTGCAGAGACATCAGGGAGGGTCTAGAAATGCTGCTGGGAGGGGGGTGGGAAAGCAGGAGAGGGGTGTGCAGCCTGCAAGGCCAGAGCAGCAGCAGGGCCAGGGCAGGACAGCCTGCAGGAGAGATGGCCAAGGGCTCTGGTAGGGCTGCA